AGACGTTGGCTCCTGGGTTTTATTCTAGCAGCCTACCAGGTTAGTTCACCAAGTTTGAAAAGTAGATTAAAGGGGAGGCTTCTGGCCCTTGGTGGTGGGGTAAGAGGTGCTGCTGATGGGACAAGCTGATTTATAGGGCCACTCAGCTGAGATACCTGGCTTTGGATGTGAAGTCCTCTTGCTGATGTCTGCCTAATCAGCCTCTTCGCCATAGTCTAAGAAGCCCACCAGCTGTTTCCCACGACCCATGACTCCCCGGGACCGACATGAAGGGCGCAAACAGAGCACTACGGAGGCCCAGAAGAAAGCAGCTCCCGCTGTTGTTAAACAGGTTAGTTGGGGGCTGAAGGGAGACCCTAGAGCAGCAGGTTGGCCTGGGAAAGCAGCAGTGAGCCTCATTTGACAGCCCCTCCCCACAGGCTGATCGCCGCCAGTCCATGACCTTCAGCATCCTCAACACGCCCAAGAAGCTTGGGAATAGCCTTCTGCGGAGGGGGGCCTCAAAGAAAGCCCTGCCCAAGGCCTCTCCCAACACCAGCAGTGGAACCCGTCGCTCTCCTCGCATTGCCACCACCACAGCCAGCGCTGCCACTGCTGCTGCCATCGTTGCCGCCACTTCTCGGGCCAAGGGCAAGGTGGAGGCACTGGCAGGGAAGAGGGAGGCTTAACTCTTAGGAACCCCAGTGGAAGTATGGGACCGCTTCCAGGGCAGGCCTGCTGGGGGCTAAGCAGGTGCTCCTTTTCTTGCTCAATCGCTTATTATTGAGGAGAGGAGGCAGACAACTCCACTCCTGAGAAAATCCAGAGTTGCTTAGACACATCTAGCAACTGGTAACCTGAAGGTAGATCTGTCCAGGGCCACACCATGGAAGGGATCCTGGTCGGGGCTATGGGAGCAGGAAGAGGTCTTCCCACGCCAGCTGGTGGCTGATGTCACAGCCACGTGACGGTTTCTCTCTTTCAGGCAAAGCACTAAAGGACCAGTACCAGTGAGTGGCCCCACCTGTGTCCCTGATGCTGCCCTTGCCTGATGCTGTCCCCTCAGTGCCTTCTCTCAGCTTTCAGGCCAACAGTGGCCAAACCCCTAGAGACAGTGATGCCTGACACACCTTGGCCTGGTACCTGGACCTTTATCAGAGCCTTCACTAGGAGAACAGATGTGTCGTCAGAATTGGCCTGGAGCCCGAACAGTCTGGGTCCTCTCCCTACCTTGCCTCCTGTTTTCACAAAGCAAAGTCACTTCTCCATGACGAGATTTGAGGCTGGCTTTGAGGACTGGGTCCTTGGGCCCAGCCAGTCCTCCTCAGCCTCTGTATTTAGAAGGGACCATTGGAGGAGCAGCCCTGGTCCCTGCTGTTGCTGGTGGCTAGGCTTACCAAGGGCCCTTGTTAAAGTCTATGGTTGGGCATTGACCTAGTAGGAGCACCTGGGGATAAGGTGCTCCCATCCATCCAAGGGCAGTTACCCAGAGGATGCTCTTTTCCATAACCGCCAGGCTTGCTGGGGTGGGGAAGGGTGGGGACAGCTCATTCCCCACCTTCTCTAGACTTGTACTGGGGTGGGATTTGGATTGATGGGAAGGTTTTTAAGGGCCAGGGATGGATCTTTTCTAAATGTTATTACTTGTAAATAAAGTCTATTTTTCTCCCTTGGCTGCTAAGCTGCCTGATCTGTGTGGGAAAAGCCCAGAGGGGAATCTGGGCTTGTTAGAGCATACTATGTTCCTGCTCAGTCTTCAGACCACCTACCTTCTTTCAAGTCCCTTCTCCTGGCCTCTGCTCATGGAGCAGTATGGGCTGTCTTTTTCTGAGGGCCTCTGTCCCCTGAATCTGGTTTTGTCTTTAACTTCTGAATGGTACTCTTCCCATAGTCCCTCTTAGAATGGGCCAAGTTCTGTGAATGGGAGAATGGCCTAAATCAGAAGATGTCAGCTTGCCTCCACTGAAAATCACCTATGAATGCCCATTGTGGACCTTGCTAGGTACAACAAAGACACAACTGTGGCCCTAGCCAATCTGGCTCAATGGATAGAACATCTGCCTGTGCACTGAAGGGTCTCGGGTGTGATTCCTGTCAAGGGCACATGCCTGGGTTGCGGGCTCGATACCCAGTGGGGGACTTGCAGGAGGCAGCCGATCAATGATTCTCTATCATCATTGATGTTTCTATCTCCCTCTCCCTTCCTCTCTGAAGTCAATAAAAATGTATTTTTTAAAAAAAGATACAATTGTGTATCAGAAGCAGCCTCTGCCCAATCAATTGGGGGAGGGAGGACAATACAGGCTAGCTTAGATATTGCAGGTTCGGTTCCAGACCACTACAACAAAGTGAATATTGCAATAAAGTTAGTTACAAAATATTTTGGTTTCCACTGTAGTCTATTAAGTATGCAGTAGCGTGTCTAAACAACGTACATTAACTAAAAAATACATCATAGCTAAAAAATGCTATTCACCATCTGAGCTTTCGGTGAGTTGTAATCTTTGCTGGTAGAGGGTCTTGCCTTGATGTTGGCTGCTAAGAGCAGAATGGCTAAGGGTTGGAATGGCTGTGGCAATTTCTTAAAATAAGAAAATGAAGTTTGCTGCACTGATTGACTTTCACGAATAATTTCTCTATAGAGTGCAATGCTGTTTAATAGTATTTTTATCTACAGTAGAACTTCTTTTAAAATTGGAGTCAAGCCCTAGCCGGTGTTGTTCAATTGGACATTGTCTCATGCACCAAAAGGTTGCTGGTTTATGGTCAGGGCACATGCCCAGGTTGCAGGCTTCATCCCTGGTAGGGGATGTGCAGGAGGCAGCCAACTGATGTTCTGTTCTCACATCCATGTCTCTCCAAAAATAAAACAACAGCAAAAAAATTTTAAAAATTGGAGTCAATCCTTTTTTTTTTTTAATTGATTTTGAGAGAGAGAGAGAGGAGGGAGAGAGAAACATCAATACGAGATGCATTAATCGGTAGCCTCCTGCACATGGCCTGACCAGTGATCAAACCCACTATCATCACCCTTTGGTGCATGGGACGACACGCCAACTGAGCCATGCCAGCCAGGGCTGGAGTCAGTCCTCCAAACCCTGCTGCTGCTTTATCATCTAAGTAATAGTCTAAATCTTTTGTTGTCATTTCAACAAATCTTCACGGCATCTTCACCACTAATACATTCCACCTCAAGAAACCACTTTGCTCATCCACAAGAAGCAACTCTTCATCCATTAAAGTTTTATCATGAGATTGTAGCAATTCAGTTACATCTTCAGGCTCCACTTCTAATTCTCTTGCTATTTCCACATCATATAAAGTTACTTCCTCCACTGGAGTCTTGAACCCTCCCAAGTCACCCATGAGGGTTGGAATCAACTTTTTCCAACTCCTGCTAATGATGATATTTCACCTTTCCCCATGAATCACTAATGTTCTTAGTAAAGAATAGTGAATCTTTTCCAGAAGGTTTTTAATTTACTTTGCCCAGATCCATCAGAGGAATTACTATGGCAACTATCACATTATGAAATGTATTTCTTAAATAATAAGACTTGAAAATTGAAATTACTCCTTGATCCACAGATTGCAAAATGAATGTTAGCAGCATGAAAACATTAATCTCGTTCATTTCCATCAGAGCTCTTGGGTGACCAGGTGCTTGTCAATGAGCAGCATTATTTTCAAAGGAATAGTTTGTTCTGAGCAGTAGGTCCCAAAAATATCCAATAAATCATATTGTAAACAGATGTGCTATCATATATAGGCTTTGCTGTTCCATTTCTAGAGCACAGGCAGAATAGATTTAGCATAATCCTTAAGAGCCCTGGGATTTTCAGAAGGGTAAATGAGCACTGACTTCACCTTAAAGCAGCAGCTGCATTAGCTCCTAACAAAGTCAGCCTGCCCTTAAAAAAATTTTTTTGGTATTGATTTTAGAAAGAGAAACATGGATCAGCTGCCTTCTGCACACCCCCTACTGAGGACCAAGCCCCCAACCTGGACATGATTATGCTCAACCAACTAAGCCACAATGAACGGCCAGGGCTCAGCCTGCCCCTTGAGACTTTGAAGCCAGGCATTGGCTTCTCCTCTCTAGCTGTGAAATTCCTAGATGGCATCTTCTTCCATTAGAAGACCGTTTCATCTACATTGAAAATCTGTTATTAAGAGTAGCAATCTTGCCCTAACCAGTTTGGCTCACTGGATAGAGCATCAGCCTGCAGACTGAAGGGTCCCGGGTTCGATTCCGGCCAAGGGCATGTCCCTTGGTTGCAGGCACATCCCCAGTGGGGGGTGTGCAAGAGGTGGCTGATCAATGTTTCTCTCTCATCGATGTTTCTAGCTCTCTATCCCTCTCCCTTCCTCTCTGTAAAAAATCAATAAAATATATTTTTTTAAAAAGAGAGAGTAGCAATCTTCATTAATGATCTCAGCTAGATTTCCTGGATAACTTGCTGTAGCTTCCACATCAGCACTGGCTGCTTCACCCTGCACTTCTATGTTATGGAGATGGCTTCTTAAACTTCATGAACCAACCTCTGCTAGCTTCCAATTTTTCTACTGCAGCCTCCTCACTTCTCTCAGCCTTCACAGAATCATGGGTTAGGCTAGGGTTTAAAAGAATGTGGTTGGTTTCACCTGTCTAGACCACCAAAACTTTCTCCATATCAGCAGTAAGACTTTCATTTTCTTATCAATGTGTTCCCTGGAGTAGCACTTTTAATTTCCTTCAAGAACTTTTCCTTTGCATTCACCACTTGGCTATTTGGTGTAAGAGGGAGGACTAGGTTGTTGCCTGTCCGGGCTTTCGACATGCCTTCCTCACTAAGCTGAATCATTTCTAGCTTTCGATTTAAAGTGAGAGACAGATGACTCTTCCTTTCACTGGACATTTAGAGGTCACTGTAGGGTTATTACTTGGCCTAATTTCAATACTGTTATGTCTTGGGGACTAGGGAGGCTCAAGAAGAGGGGGAGAGATAGGGAATAGGCAGTCAGAACAGTCAGAACACACACATTTGTCAATTAAGTTTACCATCTTATATGAGCATGATTCATGGCACCCCAAAAACAGTCACAACTGTGACATCAAAGACCACTGATCACAGATCATAACAAATAAAATGATGATGAAGAAGTTTAAAATATTTCAAGAATTACCAAAATATGACATGAAGTGAACAAATGCTGTTAGCAATTTGTAAAAAATGCATGATCTGTGAAGCACAATAAAACAAGGTATGCCTATACAAATACATAGCATTAAGTTGACAGACTGTGGCCTGAGCTGACAGCCTAGACCTAAATGAAGAGGTGGCGTTTCAACCAGGCTCGAGTTCACCTGTCAGGATGGTGAGGCAGAGGGAACCCTCTGGAGGCTTCTTGAGTCGGGGGCATGAGTGTCCTCAGCCCAGCCTGGGAAGTGAAGGCAGACAAGGATCAGGGCCAAGGGGGAGGGATATCTGGTCACTTTCCTCTAGGCCATGCCTCCTCTGCTTGAGTCTGAAGTTCTTTGTAGTTCCACCTTGGGCCTGGGGTCTTGGGGGAGTGGTGGTCCTTAGCTGGAGACTGCTTGGGGCATAGCCCACCCTTTCCTCCCCACACTGGAGCAGAGCTCCGCTCATCCCTGGAAACCTTCCCTCAGGTTCCTCACCAAGAGATCGGCCAGGACAACGTGGCGCTGGACAGTGTACTCAGGATCCGTGAAAACACAAGAGAAGTTGGTGTTGCGCAAGACGGGGCTCAGCTCCTCCAGCACCAAGGCCTTCTTCAGCTGAGTGCTGGCACCCCTGTGCTCCCGGCTGCAGCAGAGAAGAAAGGCCATGAGAGGACTGCAGGAGGAGGCCTCCCTCCTGTGGGCCTCATCCCCATGCCCCTCACCTGGTGCCGCTCTCCTGCAGCCGGTCTGGGAGGTGCTCGATGAAAGAACCATTGCCCAGCCAGTAGAGAATGCTGAAGTGGTGGAAGCGGCTACAGGCGGTACAGGACAGAGTCAGCGTTCCATCTAGGAGCACAAGTGGCTGTCAGCCCTCAGCCTTTCCATAGAGCAGCCCCCCACCCTCTCTTCTGTGGCCTGCCCACCCGCCCCAGCTCCCCAGCGCCACGATTCAGGAACCTAGTGTGCTGCTCGGCACACCACCCAGGTGCGAAAGTCCATTGAAGCAGAAGTACACTTGTCTACCACTGAGGCCCAGGGCTGAGTGAGAGTCGGGGATAGGTCCTTGGTTCAGGTGATAACTCCTGAGCTTGTTTATTCAGGAGACCTAGTGCCCAGCTTCAGTGACTAGAAGCCCCAGCCAAGGGGGCAGCCCTACTGGGGCCACTCCTCCTGAGGTGGCCAGAAGCAAGTGGGCTCTGAGAGGAGGGGCAGGGCCTGGGAGCCCACGGCAGTCCGGCTCTGCAGCTTCTCACCTTTCCTTGTCTGAATACTCTCTGTTCTACTCGATAGGGAGCATCTTGGGAGCAGGGCCCCGTGCCCATACTCATAATGCTGGGTGGGAGACAGAACGCTGAGTGCTCAGCCAAGCTGGCCAGGTTGGTAGTGGGCTACATGGCAGAAGGGCAGGGGGTATATTCAGGAGTCAACCCCACCCCTGGACCCTCTGTGCTAACAGCCTCCCTTCTAACCACGGTGACCTCCTGGGCTTTCTTCAGAATTGTTCCTTACTTAGTGAGAGTCCATCTTCTGGCCAGGTCACCTCCAATGCTGGGCACTGCTTAGTTGCGGGGAGCGCTGAGGGGCGGGAGGAGGAGGGGTCTTTTGTGATCCCAGCTGAGACTGCAGCAGCTGTGCCGGCCTGGGGTATAGGTGTGGCTCTCACCAAATGGGAGACGATGTGGGCACACAGGAACAGGAACAGGAACCACAAAGGGCTGGAGTCTGAGGAAAGGACAGTCACGGAGATCAGCAGCTGCCAGGCCACCTGGGAATGCTCAGCACCCAGGCTCAGATCTTAGCTGAGGGACTTGCTGCCTGGATAGCTCTGGCCCGGAGATTCCTGGGCTCTGCTTGGGGAATTGCAGGGGCAGAAGGACCCTCAGCTCCTGCCTCCCGGCCCTTTTTGAAAGGAGCACAGGGAGGCTCTGGAATGGAGCCAGAGCCACAGCGTCTGGACAGAGGCTGAAAAGACCGCAGTGAAGAGGGGTCACCTGGGAGTAAGGCTTGGGGCAACCCACGGCTCCGTTCTGTTCTCAGACCACTCCCACCCCCACGTTCTAACCCCGACACGTCCTCCACCCTCCTCCTCCCCCAGCCGCCCATGCACAGCCCCAGGTCCCACCTCGTGTCCAGCTCTGCCTGATGGTCATGATGTGCCAGGACCTGGTGTTCTTGGCTCTGTGGCTCTATATATGTACAGGATGGCCTCTTCCCTCTTCCTCTTTGGGGGCAGGCGGGGGTGGGGGGGGCGGGGAGGGGAGTGGTGAGTAAGCTGGCCTAGGCTTCAGGACCTGCCTCTGCTCCCGCTGCCCGCTTCTGCTCTGCCCCTCTGCCTCCTTCTCCATCCCCTCCCCCTCCTTCTCCGTCCCCTGTCCCCTCCCCCTCCTCTCTCCCAGCTGGCTCCGGCTCCTGCTCCTCCACCACCTCAGCACGACCTCTGCCCCTGAGAGGCAGCCGCACTGGGTCTCCCTCCCCTCGCGGGCGCGGGGGAGGGGGGGCGGGCGGGAGCGAGGAGGCCCCATCAACCCGGCCTGGCTGCCTCCCAGGGACCCTTAGCTCATCGCGCTCATCCTGGAGCAGCTCAAAAGCAGCGGCCTGTTGGACAGCTTCCGCAGGGACTACCTGGCCAACGTGGCCACCAAACCAGCTTACCAAAACCTGAGGCAGAAAAAAAAAAAAAGAAGAAGCTGGCCAAAGATCCCAACCGTGCTTCCTGCAGATCCCACAGCCCTGCCTCGAACTGGCTCGCAGGGGACTGCCAGGCACTACTATTCACTCTGTCCTGTCCATCTGTCCCCACCGGCAGCTCCTGGAAGGCAGGCATGTGGCCGAGGCTGGAGCTCTTCAGCACCCAAAGCTGGAGGGTCATCTAGGGACAGTCTTTCCTCGCCCGAGCTCTGTTAACATACCATGTAACATGCTAGTTTCCAGTGCACGCTAACCCCTTCAGTACAGACACAGAAACACATGCAAAGAGGGGCCAGGGACTTACCCAGCCAGAAGGGAGATAAAGCTCTCCTCACCGCGGAGCTGTTCTGGGAAGGGCAGGATCCAGGGAATCATGCTGGGAAAGCACTGGCCCCTATTTCACTTTCACTTTGATTCTAACAGGGAATCTAAAGCAGGCTGAGGTACTGGAAGCTTCCTGCTATTTCCTAGCACCCTTACTCGCCAGCCAGCATCAGACTGGGTACGTACGGTCTTTAATCCACCCACATCTGTAACCTCCAGGGTCACAAAGGGGATGGGACCAATGAAAGTCTCTCACAGGTCAATCCTTCCATCCCAGCGAAGGGTCAGGACTTTAGTATCCATCTTTGCTCTTCAGAGCCAGATCTTTGCTTCTATGAGCAGGCCTCTTGCTTCCTTCTTCTGTTATGTTGCTATTCAAGGGAACAACTCTTGTAGGCACTGGGGACTCCAACGTGTTAGATCAATTTGACCATTTCATGTTCAATGGCACCCGAGTCTATCCACATCCAGACCTTTCTCAGGCTCCCCACTCCCCTAAACCAACACCCACCCAGAGTCACGATGAACTCTTCTCACTTCTCTCATCCCAGAGCTACAGGTCTAGGTTCCCCAGGAAGTCTAGATTCCCCATACCTGGCTCCCAAGAAGTCTGAAGAGCCCTACTTTTCGAATCACCATTCCGGAGCACCACAGCGCGGTTCCACTCTGCTTTTCCCATGTGAGCCCCGCCACGGGAACTGCGCCAAGAGTACTTCCCAGACTTGTCTGCAGGACCTCGCAGAGCCACGCGGAGAACTTGAAACAGGAGCTGGAGCCCTGGTGCTAAAAGGAGGGCATTCCCTGGGAAGAGGGGGAATGGCCCCACACTGGCTCAAGCAGCACCCCAGTCTAGCTGCTGACGGGGCAATAGAGCTGGGACTGTGGCAGAGGCAGGACCAGTGGGCAGTGAGTGAGGCACTCACTGTCAGGGTCATGGAGGCAGAACGATCCGGAGGAGGACTGGTGATCCATGTATCAAGTGTGAAGGACAAAACCTGAGTGACTGGGGTTTGTGACTTCTGTGGTCAAAAGGATAGGAGAGCTGGGGACAGAGCCAGGGAGGCCAGGACACAGGATTGGCTTTAGAGGATGTCTGCTGCAATCCCAAGGGGGTGTTACTGGTGTGGAAAACAGACTCATGTTCCTCATTTAGAGGCAGGAGAGAAAGCTATGCATTCTGCTCTCCAGAGCTCTACTTGGCATTTTTTAACTCTTGGTCTCTCCCCACGAGTTGCTAGGCTGCAGGACACAGGGAAACTCCTTCCAGCACCCCCAGCAGTTAAGTCAGGAGGCAAGGCTGCCTGGGGCTCAAAGACACAGTCCTTTGGGGCTTGGGGGCGAGGGGAGGGAGAGAATGGAGGTGGGATTCTACTTCAGAGTCACCAAGACTAGAGTTGGGCCACTGGGAGGTCCTAGGGCTCAGGACTGGTGAAATATAAAGAGAGTCTTGGACAGTTGGCTTCAGCTTCTCACATGAGCCTGATGTGGGGATTGGATGATCCCTGGACCCTTCAACCAGCCCCCAGTCCACTCTGAGAATGGCATGAAAGGTGGGGGACTGTGGGAAGCCACAGCCGGGTAAGACAGCCAACGTTGAGAATGGCCCTGAGAAGGGGTGATGGCAGGGAACTGACCTCGAAGTGGTAAGGACACAACCACCCAGTGATGCCCTGGGCCCCTTCTACCACAGGACAGAGCCCGGCATTCCACCACTCCCCGGGATGCTGAGCGGGGCCAACCCTCAAACAGGAACAGCAAAAGGCAGCCAAGGCAAGGCATCCCCGGGGACCCCAGGGAAGGAGGTGGGAAGAAGAAAAGCAAGATGATGTTCAGCTTTCCAACCCAGCTCATGGAGCTTTATTCAGAATGGAGTGACAAGATCCTTCTTGGTTCTTGCTGCCCTTGAAGGGGTAGGCCCAGATGGGCCGTATTTCCTAGGAGCCCCATGTTTACCCTCCCACGTCCTCACAACTAGGACCAGGGCTGGGCCTCCCTGGAATCCCTTTGCAGAAGCCATACTCACCTGGGCCTCCCCCGCCTACTACCCAACCCCGCCAACTTCCACGAGAGGACCCATGAACAACAAAGCTGACGCAGGGACCTTCTCTGGCTGGGAATCCCCTGCCAGCTTCAAGGGAACAAAGTCTCATGTCTGTCACAATCCCTCTGCCGCATCCACTCAGACGCACGCACACATTCACACAGGCTTTCCGGGAAGGAAGTGATGTGGCTGAATGGCCTGTGGTATATACTGCCACTTCCGGGCACAAGGAGCCCTCAATCATTGCAGCTCCCATGGCCTCCGTTCTGGCTGAGTGCAGGGTTGCTCCGGGCAGGTCACCCAAACTGCTCCTGCCCCCAAACAAATCCTCAAGGCATTCTGAGGTCCCAAGGCTTCCCTCACTGGAAAAGTCACAAGATTCCACTTGCCTCAACCAGCCTATGGCTCCTGGACAGGGGAAGGTAGAAGATACCTCACCACACAGTGCTCCTCTGTGGCAACAGTGGGAGGGCTTTAGCTCTTCCACGCTGAGCGTGCCAGGCTTGAGCCCCTTCGAGGGAAGGAGATGGGTGGGCTGAGGCTCTCAGCCAGAGGTGAGGAGGCTCCTTTAAACCAGAAAGGTTGTGGCTCTGCTCCCGCCCTGCTCAAGCAGGAGGATAAGGCCTGCAGGAGTTGGGGCAGTTCCTATGCTCCACAATAAAAAAGGTTTTTAAATATATTCATCAAAATAGTTTTCTTTTAAAAAGCCCCCACTGCTGACAGCCCACTGGCTAGCTCGCCATCATGTCCCTCCCCTGCCCGGACACAGCCAGGAGGGTCCTGAGTGGCCCAAGTGCCCCTTTGAGTCTTTCCCACCCAGGAGGTCTTGAAGGGCAGGGAGGAGTGTGCCCTGAGGTCCATGGTGGGTGGATGCTCTTCTGCCTGATTACTCGAGGCCCAGGATGTAGTTGATGCCTTGTACCAGGCCAATGATGACAGGCTGCCAGGCTACCAAATAGCGAAGCCAATCCAGCAGTTGCCCGTACATGACGTGGGGCCTCTCCCAGCTGCCGGTGTGTTAAAGGAAAGAGGCTATGCTTAGAGCTTCTAAGGCTGGTCTAGGGATGGTCATGGAGGGTTTGCTCACATGCTCCCTCCACGGGACTGCCCACACTTTGAGCAGCTTTCTAGAAAGCCCCACCAGCCTTTCCATGTTGGAGTAAAGGGCTAAAGCGGGGGGGGGGGGGGGGGGGGCAGTGCAGAAGATGGGGGTGGAGTGGTGGAACTAAGCTCTCCATGACCGACATGCAGAGAGGGTCATCCATGGAACAACTTCTCTGAGATGGACTGGCAGTGAGAGAACACAGCCTGAGGCCGGTGACACTGGCTGCAGGGAAGCTGGGAGTTAAGAAAGGCAGCCCTGAAGGTTCTTGTAATGTCCAACTGGAAGGCTTTCTAGGTCAAGGAAGAGGTAGAGTCTAGAGAGAGGCAGAAGGGAGCACGAGGCTGGTCACAGAGGATAACCCCTGGCAGAGGCCCCAAGGATCCCCATCCAGGGGCACTAAGCACCTGACCCTACTGAGGCCAAACGGCTCTGGAGATAGTTCCCCTCCTTCCACTTTACAGCTAACCACTGGGCAAGACGCCTGGAAAAGGAGCCTGGGATTCCAGGTCTGGGGAAAGCCCTGGGGGGAGAGAACCTCTTAAAAGGCATCAGAAAGGGCAGCTTGGCCTAGTCTCTGAGAACTAAGGGAAGCTCCAACCATCAGCTTGACCACGGAGTTATCCCTAAACTAGTCCCTGCAAGAATGAAGTAAGGAACCTAAAAGGGCCTGCCTCCTGTCCAGGGAGTGTACTGGGAATGCAGTGGCTCCCACACGGCCCAGCTAGTGTACTGGGGACAGAGAAAAGGGCAGCTGAGAGGAGAGGGGAGAAAGCTGGATCTCTGTATCCCAGGGGAAGTGCAGGGGTGGGCAGAGTATGGCTGGCACTTTCCAACGGTCAGGCTGTGAGAAGAATGAGGAAGATGAAGGTACAGGATGAGGAGGGAAGGCTGGCAGGGGAGGAAGTGATAGTTCAGAGGAGCACAAGTCCTGTGTTGATAGCTGATGGGGACAGGGAGTCCCTCGGCCACCCCTGCACCTATAGGCCCCACACAGGCACAGAGCTGGTCTCCAGCCTGCAAGTCATAGATAAGGCATCATCATGCATTAATTATATCACCTAAACAAGTATCCAACATCTAACTGTTTCATCTGTAAAATGAGGATATCACCAGGTCATAAAGTTGCTAGAGAAGACAATGAGATGCATATGAGTAGAACACTTAACACAGTGCCAGGTACACAGTAAGCAAGCAGGAAGCGGCAGCTGCTACAACTACCAACTTAGCCTTAAGGGTTCTAGAACTATGATGAGAAGCTGAGGCATTAGCCCTGTGCCATGTCCCATCCCCAACTTCCTTACACTTGAGGCTAAATAGAATGGTGGACATGTACGGGGGGGTGGGGGTGGGGGGAGAGGAGAGCTCCATGAGGACCCAAATGCAGGGTCACATTGGCCAGTGCTTGCTTCCCACTGCCCACTCCCAAAGGATGCAAAATAAGGATACGGGTTGCTGAACATCCTCTTGAGGTCTACCTTCTCTTTGCAGTAGGGACACGTCTGTTTCTTTCCCACAATGCACCAGCCGCGAATGCAGAACTCGTGGAAACTAAGCACCACTGGTCAAGGGAAATACTGTGGACAGCCTGCGTGGCACCCAGCTCTGTGCTGATCTTCAAGCTGCCCATATACTAGCTCTGGAGAAAGGTTCCAAGCCTGGCCTCCCCTCTTATCTGCTATATAATATTAGGCAAGTCCCTTCTCTCTGACTCTTTGCTCATATATGAAACAAGAATAATAATCTCTACCGTACAGGATTGTTAGGGGCAAAATGGGAATAATATAATGCATGGCACAAAATGGGAGCTGAGCAAGGACATGACAAATCTTAGAAAAGTTATTCAGGCCCTAATTGGTTTGGCTCAGTGGATAGAGCGTCAGCCTGCGGACTGAAGGGTCCCGGGTTCGATTCCGGTCAAGGGCATGTACCTTGGTTGTGGGCACATCCCCAGTTGGGGGCGTGCAGGAGGCAGCTGATTGCTGTTTCCCTCTCATCGATGTTTCTAACTCTCTATCCCTTTTCCTTTCTCTCTGTAAAAAAAATCAATAAAATATATATATATATATATATATATACACATATATATACATATATACATATTTTTTTAAAAAAGAAGAGTTATTCAGCGGGATCTGATTCTGAAACTGAGGACTCCAATTAGAGGATGCTCTTCCTGTGACCCTCCAACCTTGGGGCACCGAGTGCAGCTGCAGGCTCCTTCCTGATCTGCCAGGCTATGAACACCATTTACATAAGAGTGGCTCCCATGTGTGGGAAAGACCGAGCAAGGATGCGTTTTCTACTCCTGGGTGTCAGCTCCTCTAACACTGAACATCACCCAAATGCCTACCCTCTTGTGACTCTCCTACACTCAAAGACCGGGCAGCATGCCCCCTTCCCTCCCTGCCTGCAGTGTGCATGAGACCCAGGAGCTCCAGACGGATACACATGATTGCAAGACAGCCTGTACGTGTTCTCGATGATGCCCTCTTCACTGACATCCACAAAGATCTGCTGCCCACACACGGCACACATGCTGTCCGAGAGGTGTTTGGTAGGCATGCCTGACTCGCTGTAGAACTGGGAGAGAAGAGCACAAGGGAAAGACAGGAAATATGTGAGAATCAACCAAAGTGGGAAGCTACCACAGAGGCCTTAGGTCTTCTAGAGAGAAGACAAAGTGGCAGGGGAGGTCAAAGAGCTAGAAAACATTTCTATACAGTAAACCGACCTCATCCTTGTTGGGTGAATGAGGAGAAAGGGACAGACCAGAGATGGGTCAGGAAGTCAAACCTAACAGGACCTGAAGACTGGGCTGGGTTAACATCAGGGACAAGGGGAATGTGAGGGAGAAGGACTCAGGGTGGTGACCAGGAGCTATGTCAGGTAGGCCATGCTGTGGCCAGACTATGATGCTAGCAGACATGGACACCATCTCTAAGATTCAAAAGAGCAGTATCCAGAGCATGGTGGTGATAAGGGTGTTCTCAGACACCTGTGGCTGCAGCAAAGGAGCTGCAATCCTTTTGGACAGCATTTGGCATAATATCTCATACTGTCACACACTTTAGCCATTAATTTCACTTCAAGGAATTTAAGGAAATAAAAACAAATGTCAAAAAGCTTCATGCAACCCTGGCCAGTGTGGCTCAGTTGGCTGAGCATTATCCCATGCACTGAGTGGTTCAATTCCTGGTCAGAGCACATGCCCGGGTTGTGAGCTTGACAGTCAATGTTTCTCTCTCCCTCTCCCTTCCTTTCTCTTTAAAAGTGAATAAAAACATTTAAAAAAAAGCTTCACCATATAGATATTCATTTAGACATTATTTATAATTAAAGAAGCAAAGAGTTTCATAATTCCTCTAAAAGTTAAACAAGAATCACCACATGACACAGCAATTCCACTCCCAAAAATGAAAACGGACTAAACACATGCTTGTGTGCTAATGCTCATCACAGCACTACTCACAATAGTCAGAGGTGGAAACAATCCCTGTGTCCATCAATAAACAGGGTATAAATAAATGTGATATATCCACCCAATAAAATATTGTTCAGTCATTAAAATAATGAAGTTCTGACACATGCTACAACACACATGAACCTTGAAAACATTATGCAAGGTGAAATAAGCCGACACAAAAGAACAAATATTATATGACTCCATATATAAAATATCTAGAATAGATAAAAAAGATCACTCTGTCTTCTGTGTGAAAAATGAATTGGAGATGAGGCAAAAAGGCTTTAGAAAGACCAGCTAAGAGACAATTATAATTCTCTAAAAGCAATGGATCATGGAGGCTATACTAAGGTGATGGCTTGGGCTAATTTGATGGCAGTAAAAACAGAGAAGTATAGACAGACTGATGATGTCTAATAGACCATTGAATAATAACATTCTAGTGTTCAGAAAACAGTTTTGGATTAGAAATCTGGAATCCCTGGACAAAGAAAAGTGAACTATCCAGGTTAAGAGTAGAAAAGATGACTTAGATTTGAACTTAGAGGAACAATAACATTTAAGAGAAAGAAAAATTAGCAGAGGAAACAGAAAATACCAGTGACAAAAAGAAAACCAGGACTGGGTAATGTTGTGAACTCTGCAAAATGCTTTACATTAACCTGTTCCTTACAATTCTGTAAGACTGGTAGTATTACTACAGCTCAGAAAACAAGAGCAGAGAGGTAAAGTAACTTGCTCAAGAGTACACAGCTAGCCCTGGCTGGGTAGCTCAATAGATTAGAGTATCATCCTATGCACCAAAAAGGTTGTGGGTTTGAAACCTGGTCAGGGTGCATACAGGAGGCAACTGATCAATGTTTCTCTTTCTCTCTCCTTCGCTCCCTTACTCTCTGTCTAAAGACAGTAACAACATAGAGACATATGTAATACTTTCAACAATAAAGATTAAAAGAATAAATTTTAAAAAGAGAGAGATTATAGCTAATTAAAAGTGGATTAGAACTTGAAACTAGGTCTGACTCTAACCCCCTAGCTCTTTCCACTACTTTAAACCAGATGAATGGCTAGTCCTGTCATGATGCTATCTGGGCCACTGATGATCCAAGAGGTAACTCTGGGGCACAAGAACTTGCTTAGAAGATAGAAAGTGTGAGGTTAAAAAAAAAAAGTGTGAGATAGAGCCTTGGCCAGTGTGGCTCAGTTGGTTGGAGCATCGTCCTGTACACCAAAAGGTTGCAAGTTCCATTCCCGGTCAGGGACATATCCAGGTTGCAGGTTCCAGCCCCAGTCCGAGCAAAAACAGGAGGCAACCAATCGATGTTTCCTCTCCTCTCCCCTCCCTCCCCCTCCCCTCCCTCCCCCTCCCCTCCCCTCTCTTCTCTAAAAGTCAATAAACATATCTTCAGCTGAGGACTAAAAGAAATCCACAAAAAAACAAAAAAGTGTGAGGTATACCCACTGTAGCATGAATAGTGTGTGTTACTGTCCTGCCTGGAAGAAGCCCCAGAAAAAAAGCTTATTTCACAATCAAGGAAACCATACTGACTGGCTGTCACAAGTTTATGATCTCATAGTGACCGGATGGGAAAAAAACAAACATCCAAGGTTCCCTAGACTCATCATAAGAAGATAATTACTTAAGTTCATATTACAAGTTTCTCCACGTGAAGACAAACCAAAGAGCTACTCTATACTAAACAGAACAGTGAAAAGGAATTGAGAATGCTTGCTAATATACTTACAAAGCCTCCTGGTTTCATTTCTAAGAACCCCGAGACGAATAAATCACACATCTCTTTAGGTCAAACCACCCTCAAAGGGGAACCACACGATGACTAAAACGAGTTCCTGACATGGCAAGCAGAACAGCTCCAACATCAACTATGACTTTCTGGGGTAGCCATGACCACAAAATGTACAAAAGACTATGAAAAATGATCAGGACTGAACATATGGTCTATCCATACAGTGGAATATTATTCAGACTTAAAAAGGAAGAAAATTCTGATACATGCTACAACATGGGTGAACCTTGAAGACATTATGCTAAGTGAAATAAGTAAATCACAAAAGTCAAATATTGCACGGGTCCACTTATATGAGGTACCCGCAGTGGTCAAATTCAGAGACAGAAAATAGAATGGTGGTTGCCTGAGGCTGGGGGAGGGGAAATTGCAGAGTTACTATTTAATGGGTATAGAGCTTCAGTTTTACAAGTGAAGAGTTTTATGGATGTATAGTAGTGATGGTTGCAGAACAATGTAAATGTACTTAATGTAACTGAACTATACACTTAAAAATGATTAAGATAGTAAATTTTGCTATATGTGTTTTTTTAGTCCTCACTAGAGAATATGTTTTTATTGATTTTAAAGAGAGGAAGAGCGAGAGAAAGAGAAATATTGATCAGGAATTGAACCTGCAACCCTTTGGTGTATAGGACAATGCTCCAACCAACTGAGCCACCGGCCAGGGCAATGTTATGTGTATTTTACCACAATTAAAAAAAACAAAACAAAAACAAGGGCTGCTACTGAAATGGGTGGTAGTGGTGTTAGTAAAGACTGTACTTGGGTCATACTAGATACATTATAGATGGTTGACAAATAACTGCTGCTTGAATAAATGAATGAATGAGTTGTCCAGTGAATGTATGGAAGGCAGAAATTTCTTGGCTTCAAATTGCCTGCACAAAAGCACTGATCAGATTTTGTTTTTAAGGTCAGGGTTATTCTTGAAATTGATGTTTCCGTGGCTCAGAGACCCAGAGCACAAGGCCCACTTGACCAAAGACAGGCAGAAACAAGAGAGTCCTGGAATTCTCAGGGTTGGAAAGAACTGTAAAGGCAGTGCAATATATCCCTTTAATCTATGCTGAAATCCCTTCTCCCACACCCTTGCCTGGTCTCATCTGCTGGCATCCCAAGCCCTAGAAGAAGGCCTGTCACTAAGTCTCAGCAATATTTGCTATGGGAAATAATGAATGAACTCCTGGTGACTCACCTAGTACTACCACAAGCCATTCTAGTCTTCCTATGACCCACTCTGCTGCAAGATGGGAACATGGGGAAACAGCAAACTGTCCATAGTTAGGGTCAGCAAGGTCACATTCTGTTGGACAGGTGCTGGATAGAGTGGCTCCTCTGAAAGGGATAGCCATTCTCAATGTCAATTACCTAGGAAAGAAGTAAGTCCTCATATAAGATACCAGGATTCAGAAGGCTGGCCTGAGGAATAGAGGAAGGGGTGGCATATTTTTGTCAGGAACAAAGGCTCTAGGTCCAGACATTTGGAAATTAGTTGTCTAGATGTGGTGGGTGCCAAAATGCCACTAGCTACACAGCGGTAGGCTGAGAGTTGGTGAAGGCAGGGTCTGGAAACTTGGAAAGCAGGCAACCTGGTAAATCAGATTAACCTCAGCCAAGTACCCTTGGCTTATTTTCCTGCTCTCATCCTCAACCTTTTAATAAACCCCAATGTGACTGCTTGATCCTTCTGTTCTTATGCTGAGATACAGAGTTTATACATGGGCCAGGCTATTAAATGAGCATATGGGGTAGTAAGATCCCATAAAGGGAGGGAGAATATGAGGGGCCAAGAGCTGGTATTTGAGGCACCCTCCACCCTAACAAGAGATTCTCCTGCCAGGTCTTTTGGTAAAGCTGGAATTTATTATCTTTTAAGGATTATCAGCTGTAATAATTGGAATTCTTCCCAATAATTCTTCCCAAGAACATGGAAAGAGGCCAATGTAATGATCCCATCTCCTCTAGAGAAGCCATCTTGTGGATCAGTTCTGAGCTCAGTCCCATTTGGACAGAAGAGGGATTTTGTAGATTGGTTATCAGCGACCACTTGAGGGAATTAAGGCCCTGCTTAAATTGGCAGCTGATAATAACCTTGAAATAAAGTTGGCAAGAAGCTGGGAAAATCAGAGAATTGGTCTTGTAAAAACAGAATCAGAAGAAAAAGAAATCACTAGAGGGTAAAGGATAGAATACTGGCAAGAGGGACTGTGAAAAGCTGGCTATGCTATAAAAGCAGTCTAAGAGAAAAGCTGTTATTCAAAGTGCAGTTAGTAATTAGATAATCTAGGGTCCAGAAATCTCTTCTGGGAAGTGAAATGGGTAAAGGAAGAGCTGAAGCATACACAAATGTGTACGAGACCGCAAAATGCAGCTAAAACATAAGACAGTTGTTCAAAAAGTATCTAATAAGCTGTCCACAAAGTGACCCAATATACTTTGTTTTCAATTTGATCCATTACAGGAAAAATAGCCCATGATACTGAGAAACAAAGTTCTAGATCTGAAACTACTATACTTGATTAAAAGTATCCAAGGTGATGGTTGAGTATTATTTAACCTAAATTGGCCTGTGACACAAATGAGATTGCAGAAGCATGACATACAAGTTTACACAGCAGATAGTCTCCCACCTGCAAACTGCCTCAAATCCTTCCGGAGTTCCCGAAGCACCTCACAGTGCAGATCCTTTCCTGTTCTTATCACTTGGTCTCCATAGATATCTGCTGCCTAACAGCTAGGACTGGTATTTGGATGCTCCCAGAGAACCTATTTCCCTAATGTTCTCCCAGGGTTTCACCCCAAGCTGTCAGGAACATCTGAATGCCCATTGGTTCCCCTCCATCAGACAGAGCCACATGTATTTCAGCACAGAAATGGAGAGAGGTCCATTAAATTTTGAAATATTCTTCCTTGCGGTGGCGTCTAATGGGATGACACTGAGATGGGGAACACTTTTGTGTTGTTTACATAATTAAGAGAATGTAAATAGCAAAACAAATACATATTTCCATTATGAAGGAATAAAAGGGATATTGATGTAGGTTTCTCAGACTGGCTATTTTACCCATATTTTAAGCTTGAAGAATTTCTCCATGGTCTCCATCTCACCCTCTTAGAGCATTTCCTATCTCACTAAAGTGTACACCATTCAAGGAGTTGCTTGAGTTAGAAATCTCAGCTTTGACACCTACTTTTCCTTCATATTTTTTCCTTCAGGCTCCAGAACTAATCTATATCCAAGTCCCATCAAACTTAACTACAAAATAGTTCAAAATAGTGCTCTTCTCTCCCTTTCTACCATCTCTACGCTAATCCAAGCTACCTTCATCTTTCCCAGACTAGTGCATTTGTCTCTTAAATAGTCTTAAGTGGTCCACTCTAACCTGTAGACCCCTCTCCAATCTGTTCTCTACCCAGCAGCCAATACGATCTTTTCAAAATGCAAATCTGATAATGTCATTTTCTATTGTAGCCTTCCAGTCTTTTTAGTATAAAAAAACACAATCTTTCCTTCGTCCTATAAGGCTTTTTCTAGTCTAGCCTCTGACTATGTCTCCAGTTATTTCACTACATTCTCAGCCCTACAAGTACATTAGCCTCAGTTCTTCAAAATGCCCACCTTTTCTCCCACCACAGGACTCTTATACTCACAATTTTCTCTACCTCGTTTCATTTCACTCCATCTAGTTAATGCCTATACATGGTGTGAGTCAGCTCAGTAGTCACTTCTTCAGAGAAGCGCTTTGAGACCCCCAACTAGGTCAAATGCTACTCCTACATTTATTCATTGCATCATGAACCTTTCCTTCATAATATTTATTAAATTTACAATTTTATATTTATTTTTGTGTTTATTACCCGTAATACCTTTCTGTCACTAGAGAGTAAAGTCCAATTAGGCAAGGACCATATCTGCTTCTGTGTGTACACCTTTGCAATCCCAGCACACACAGTGTTCAGGCACATAGGCATTACATAAATAATTGTTGGATGAATGCTAACTTCCTTCAGGGTAAAGTGGTCCTTTCCTATAATGGTCCTAAAGTTAAAAATTCCAGGGTACATCTGAGATCTGACTTTCCAAATTTTAAGGAAGAAATCTCCATACATACCACCGACATCTTGAAGGATTTTATCTGGCTCCTCTCTTCGGTCAAACAAGTGATGCTATCCTAAACTCTCTGGAGGTGGCAGGAGGCAGTATTAAGAGCCAGGTGAACTCACCCCTATGGTAGACGCCATGTAGTCTGCACACATTTCTGCAAAGTCCCGCTCAAGAACACCATAGTAGAGGCCATAGAAGAGGAGAGAAATGCCAAAGTCCATGGCATCTTCTGGTTTGATCCTGTAAAGAAGTAGCATAGCCTGCCCTGAGACACGACTGCTTTGTATTCTACTCTGGGACACAGAAGGAGGTGCCTAAAAGTGGGAGGTTCAAGGGCTAGAGCAAGTGTTGGCAAACTAAGACCAAATCTAGCCTGCTGTATTTATATTGTCTGTGGGCACCATTGAACAGGCTAGCATTGTGAGCGTCAAAGACGAAGCCAGGGTATCCCCTTCTGCCCCACTTCCCCACTCTGTTCCCAGTGCCTGCCTCCTCCAACTGGCAACCATGCACTGCAGCTGCCACGGGCCTGCTCTGGCTGGCACCTACATATTGGGGACTCCACTTTCATACCCCCCTTTTCAGGCTACTGCTTCTGAGAATGTCTTGCCTGATGGCAAGCAGACACAAATATTCCCATCATCTGAGACAGCCCATGGGTGAGGGAAAGAGTTTTCTCTCATTATAGAAGTACCTATATTATATCCTAGATTTTGACTTTTATCTCACAAAGCCTAAAATATTTAACCCTTTACAGAAAAGTTTGGCAACCACAGTTTTTAGGAAAAAAGTTAGTCAGTTACAGACAAGCTACCATAAAACGTTAAGCTGCACCTACACATATTCTGTATGTCATCAAGTTAAACTTTGGTCCACATCTATTTACCAAGAAGAACAAAGTTTTTTTATTGAATATATTGGGGTGACACTGGTTAATAAAATTATATAGGTTTTAGGTAGAAAGACAAAGTTCTTGCCTGTAATATCAAGAGATTTGTTTTAATAAGTCCAAGGACCAATAATTTGCTACCTTAAGTCTATAAATATTTAGTATAGAAAAGTACCTTTGTTAAAATATTTGTACCCTGCTTGGTGTGGCTCAGTTGATTGGAGCGTCATCCTGTGCACCAAAAGGTTGCAGGTTCAATTCCCAGTCAGGGCACATACCCAGGTTGCAGGTTTGATCCCCGTGCAGGAGGCAACTGATTGATGTTCCCCTCTCAAATTGGTCTCTCTCCCTCTCCCACTTCCTCTCTCTTTAAATTAAAAAAAAAAAAAAATTGTACCAGGAGCTGTATGTGTTCACTTAAAGCTGTAAATGATATTTATCTTAAAAAGATGAATTTGCTCATTAATCTTGTAATATTTAACCTATTAACTAGAAATCATGATTTTTCACCAACTGACCTATCAGTAGCATAAAAATGGTCAAGATTCCCAATTCTGTTTTCTTCCTTGTAGAGTTTATGAGAATAAAAAGAAACTAATTATAGAATAAATGGCTTTAAAATATAAGGCAGAATCTTGATTTTAATTATTTTAAGCCACACAGGTAAAAACATATCTGGAAAAATCTTGCTTTTCTTTGATGAGATGTGTTAGACTCTATACTGATGATTTCCTTTGTGGAGCCAGTTTATTCTTCCAGCCTGTTCTACCCCAAGTAAGAATTCCATGGCTGCCCTCTCATACATAGTGTACTAGGTTTGGGGAAGAGGCCAGTGGTCATGAATTTAAATTTGAATCCTAAATCCGTTTAGCTTCAGTATACTGTCACAGGCTTAGGATCATCCCTCGTGATCCACAAACCTCATCCCATCAGCCAGGAAACCACATTCCCACCCTCTTCTGCTCTACTCACTGTACCCACCAGTCCCAAAGCCCAGAATTTCTTGGCTTCTACCTCAATTGGGGGTGGGTAGACATGTATGCTGAAACAGATATTTTGGAAAGCTTATGACAACAGAAAGTAATAGCCAGACTCCTACTCCTAGCAATGTAACCTTAGGAAGCACCAGAGCAATGTTATCTGTGACAACACTAAACAGAAAAACAACCTAAGTGCCCAACAATGGAGCAGGAGTTAAATGTCCACAGGTTAACTTTCTAGAACTGTTTCCTTAGAAATCTGATAAAGTGGATTGTCAGCTGTGCTCCAAAGCAACAATGCTTATACATTAAACATGGCCTGTGATCAGTACACTGCATCTGGACTGGGAGATTCTTGAAACTGAAGGTGTTCCTTGGCGAGGGGGGACTTCTGGGACAGGTGTCTCACTTTCTCACATCTCAGCCCTGGGACTACTATGAGAACTTCTGTAGACACTGCCCTGCAATTTCCTGTCTTGTATCCTTCTAGGTCAGTGGTCGGTAAACTGCGGCTCGCAAGCCACATGTGGCTCTTTGGCCCCTTGAGTGTGGCTCTTCCACAAAATACCACGTGCGGGCGTGCATGTACAGTGTGATTGAAACTTCATGGCCCATGCGCAGAAGTCGGTTTTCGGCCTGGGGGCGAGTCTATTTTGAAGAAGTGGCGTTAGAAGAAGTGGGGGTACATTTGCTGAGGTCGACCCCTCAGATTGAGGACATTTTTAGCAAAGGCCAGCTTAGGAGTACCCTAATTACATTAATAACAATGTACCTACCTATATAGTTTAAGTTTAAAAAATTTGGCTCGCAAAAGAAATTTCAATCGTTGTACTGTTGACATTTGGCTCTGTTGACTAATGAGTTTGCCGACCACTGTTCTAGGTGGATCTGTTGCCAGGTGTGGTCAACTGTCTCCCATGAGTTCAAATGTCTAGTCCAGGGTCAGCAAATTTTTTCTGTAAAGGGTCAGATAGTAAATATTTTAGTTTTGTGGCCCATATAGTCTCTGCCACAATTATTAAAATCTGCTGTTTTACTGCAAGAGCAGCTATAGACAACGTGTAAAAAAATGTGTGTGGCTGTGTTCCAGTAAAATATTTTTCTTATTTTATAAAAACAGGAAGTAGGCCAATTTGGCCCACAGGACATAGTTTGCCAACTCCTAGTCTTCTTGAACATAAGATCACTCAGGCAGAGTGGATGCTGCAATAAATATATGGACAAGGAAAATAGTTCTATTAGGGAGATAAAGTAACAGGAAACTGGCTATAATTCTTATTATTATTTGTTATACTTTTCCACTAAAATATAAATTCTTAGAAAATATAACCAATGATTTGAAACTCTAACTCTGTATTATCCAACATTCCTTTATCTTTGTCAGCACAATAGTAGAGGGCCCACCCTCGTATCCCCCCATGTCTCAAGTTTCCTGTCCTGGGTTACCATGCCCCCCCCCTCCCGTTAATAACCAGGACTTGCCCCAGAAGAAAGATAAAGCCCACCAGCATCTCCACCCCCAACACCAAAAAAAAAAAAAGCAAAGGATACTCACTTGAATAATAAATTAAGACCGAAAAGGGTAAACATGACAGCCATGTAGCCAACGATACCAGTGGCATAGCTAATTTTATAGATCAGCAGGAACCACTTATAAACCAACCTGGAGAAAGGAGAGAGAAAGAGATTAAAAATGACGGCAGAGTAAGTGGATGCTCCACGGACACACTCCCAGGAGCAAACTGAAATTATAACTAAAATACAGAAAAACTTCCTGAATAATAAATGGAAAACTCACTAGAGCGAAACCTGATACCCGAGGACCAAAAGTGCTGGCCGGGTGCCCACAGACAGCGACCGATGTTCCGGAGAGATATCTCAGCTGGGGGGGGTGGGGGGGGTACCACTGAGAACTCTGGGAACTAATCCCCAAGCTGGGCCCCCCTGCAGAGAGCACCAGAACAGAGAAGAGTACCCATATAACATCTGGCTGGGAAAAGCAGCAGGGTTGCTGGCTGCCAGGGAGTAATGGCTGAAAATTCAGGCACTCTCTTAAAGGGCCACCACACAAAATTACCTGTGGAGCCACCCACCTTGTGCTCTGGCAGAGGGAGGGCAGTGTGGACTGGAGCTGTGTGAGCAGAAGCCAGAACTGGGGACTCAGGGGTTAGAGCTAGAAGGCAGACACACCTGGTTTCCTGTGCTGAGTCATTCCCTCATGTAGTGGACGACATCTTTCCCAAACAGACATTTGCTATATACAGGTGGCCTTGCCTGGGGGAAGGCAGTTGACCCATCCTATTGGAAAATACCTTGCCCTGAGGCCACTGAAGATATTAAAAATAACAATTAGCCTCTGGGCAAAAGCAATTGCCCTACTCTTTTGAAAAAAAACTCTCCCACACCTGAGGATGATTGCCTGGGGGCAATTGAAGCTGGAATCCTATCAGTCTGTAGGCAGAGGCAGTCTCTGGAGGCTTTGAGTCTTTGCTCGATATAATGAGTCAGAAAGAGCATTTGACACTGTCCTGCACCAGAAGACTGGTTTATACAGAGCCTGTTTCCTGATATATGTAGTACCAGCACATAGCTCAATAAATGCTGTGTGAATATATGTGGATGTTTATGAAAGTGTTTTGAAATTATAAAGCACTATCAAATATAAAAAACCTCCCATGTTACGGACTATTTTCAGTAATTTTAAATAGAAGTTTATACTATTTGTTACTTGGTGATTTAATATGCTTTATTACACTTTTTCTTTATATCGCCCTACTTGAGGTAGCAATTATTACCACACTTTTAGGGATAAAGAATTCAGTGCTCAGAAAGGTCAAGTCAAACAAGTCATATAATTAACAAGTGGAAGAGCTGGGGTTTCCAATATGCATCCATCTGGCTACTGAGCCTGTATCTTCTATGAAATGGCCCTTAACATAAAGTAAACTACCACAGCTAAAGAGGGGCTCTGGATCACCAACTTCACCATGAAGATAAATTTTACTTTGTATAACCAGACTCAGATGCCCAAAGAAAGGCTTGCAGGACAGTGGAACATATGAGGCATGGGAAAAAGAGCAACTTGCAACTTGGAAGACTCTGGATCAGGTGGTCGCAGCTTTGAGGCTGGCCAGTTCCTCTGTTAGACTCTCTTGGACCTGTACACATGTCTCTCACGGCACTTACCAACTACACTGACACAGCTGCTTTCTCATCCATCTCCTCACTTAAACCAAGCACTCCTGGAGGGCAGGGACCATGTCTTATCCAGTTGTGTATCCCCAGCACTCAACACAGGGTCTGACACACAGCATGTGCTTGCTTGCTTGCTGAATGAATGAATGAATGAATGAATGAATCTTTTTTTCCTGTTAAGTACAGATATTAAATGAACTCACAAGCTCGTTGGAGGATCAAATAAGAAATGCATTTGGATAAAATACAAAAAAATATACAGGCAGGAGGTGCTTTGTAACCTCAAAGGAAGTATTTGTTGGAAGACTGCAAATTTGCTGAGATTCATTCATTCAACAAAAATTCATAGAGTAGGCTAGTATGTGCCACGCCCTGTGGTAGGGCCTGGATATACAGTAACAGACAGAATGGATGTGGTTCTTATCTCATAGATATAGTTTAGTGGGGAGATAGACTCTCAATATAATATTTAGTTATAAATTGTGATAAGCTCTATGAAGGAAAACTGCAGGGCACTATGAAAAAATACAACAGAAAAATCTAACTTAGAGTTCAAAGAAGGGTTCCCAGAAGAAAATAACATTTTAAATGATACTACAATCATCACCAGGATTTGCTTACTCTATTGTTTGCTTTTAATGTAAACAGACCTTGAAATAAACTATAAGGTAAGCTATAGGTAAATATTTGGTTTTAAATCTGTGAATGGGAGGCGGGTCTCCCAATCAGCTTGTTTTGGTGGAGCTCAGTGCTAAGTAAACATGGCAGATAAAAATTGCAAAGTTTTCCATCTAAACCCACCCCCCTCCCATGCATCCCAAGCCATTAGCTTCAGGAAATCTCAATTCTCCACCTAAATTCTCACCTTGGGGTTGTCTGCACTAGTGGCTTTCGGGTGGCTCGGAAGGTGACAAAGGCTGTGACAGCAGAGAAGAAGATCCAGATCACTAGGAACCTCCACCAGTGCAGCTTCACTGTGAAATAGAGGGGAACAACCCACATCTGAAAGAGGGTCACCATCTGAAACACAAACACAAGCACTTCAGCTCCAGCCAGCTCCCTCTGCACCTCTCCCCACAAGTCCAGAGTGCATCTCAGGTGTTCCACTTCAGCCTGATTCTCTCCTACATTTCCAGTTGTGGATGAAGGCACCTCCTAGGGACCTAAGTTGGAAACCTGGGGCCATGCTGGACACTTCCCTTTCATCCCTCACCCAACCGTTTATTGTATATATTCTCTCCTTTCCATTTGAATCTTTGCTGTCCCTTGGCTGGCGGACTATGACGACTTTCTTGTTAAGCTTCCCTGCATTCAGTGTCTCCCCTTCCCATCTATCCTCCTAGGAGCTCTGGAAAGGAATCTCTAACATACAGTCTTGAGCATGTCATTCCCCTGCTTAAAAACCTTCTAATGGTCTCCCACATATAGGATAAGATCCAACTCCTTAGACAGGCAATCAAATCACCCAAATATGGCCCCAAACTACTATTCCAAGGGTCACCTTCTACCACTCCCCATGCTTTTTAGTCAGGCTGTCCCCCTCAGGCTAAAACATCTTTTCTGCCTAGTAGCATCACTTCCAAGACACATGAAGCCTTTAGTCTCTTTCTAGGAAGAACATATCTTGAGTTTCTAATGCTCCAAAGCATTTTCTTTTCTACCATCATTACAGTGCTAGAGTACAAGACTGCATTCAAATTCATTCTCTACCTGAAAGCAAGCTCCTTGAGAACAGTCATTAGGCCGTATTCATCTGCTTCCTGTTCTAGAAAACTGTCTGGCACGTGAGCGATCCTCAATAAACTTAGATAAATAAGAGGAAAGCAGCCCGCCGGTGTGGCTCAGTGGCTGAGTGTCAACCTATGAATCAGGAGCTCACAGTTCAATCCGGTCAGGGGACATGCCCAGGTTACAGGCTTGATCTCCAGTAGGGGACATGCAGGAGGCAGCCGATCATCATTGATGTTTCTATCTCTCCCTTGTTCTCTGAAATATATTTTTTTCAAAAGAGGAAAGCAAGACTAGAACCCAAAGAGGGAGGCACATTTCTGTTTCAAAGCGTATCTGTTTCCCTTTCCCTCCTTCAGATATCTACCTCAGACTTAGCTGAAGAGTTCCAAACGTAAAATACAATTCTAAGTCAGAACTTTGGACTAATCACCATTTTTTTGCTCCCCAATGCCTCCTAACTCTCTCCCACTCACTCAGCTTTCACTACATGTCACTTGTCTCAGGTGAGTAGCAGGTGTTAAAAAAAAAAAAAGAAAAAGAAAAAGGATAATTAGCACTTAATGAAGGCTTTCTTCCTGGATTCTATTCTGGCTTCAACAAAGACATAATCAGGAGTAAGTCTAGACATCAGTGTGAAAGGAGTGAAAAATCTTGCTGTGTTTTGTAACTTTCAGGCTTGAAACTTTAAGAGTGCAAAGCTATTCAACTCATATCATGAAAGAAAGAAAGGGAGGAAAGGGGGAAGGGAAAGGGAGAAGAAACGGAAGGGGGAAAGGGAAGAATTAATTTAGGGACAGGAACAGGCTCTTTGAAACAAGATGGCCCAGTAGACGTGGATTCTAAGTTCTGTTATGCCTCCAACTCATTGGGTCATCCTATGGAGGGCCTTCCTCCTTGAAGGAAGAGTTTGACTTGATTTTCCAAACCATTTCAATTTTAACATGTGAAGGCTCTATTAAGCAGCCTTGTATCCTAGACTTCCTGACATAGTAAAACCAAGTGTCCTTATGACTTTGACTAAACTTAGCTTTTAGTTTTAAGTCCTAGCTCTAGAAATCATAATCCTCTCTCTCTATATATATATATACACCCCTCGGAGACTTAGCCTTTCCCCAGACAATCAGCAACTCTTGAGGCAGAAGATAGTAGCCAGAACCTAACCAATGCTCACACCGACCTCTGGCAGGCTAAAGATAACATCTTAACCTAAGGTATGTTTCAGTTCCTGAGCCATAAGGTGGGATGACCCTGGCTACTTTCCCAGGAGACCAAACAGAGGGAAGCAGGAAAAGACCTTTCCACTGTCTTCAAAATCTGAAGAGATGACTTATTACCCTTACCTCACCTCTAACCAGTCAGCTCTCAGCACAACCCCTAACCCTGGTGTCTTGTGATTTTGCCCTTATATAATCTATAACTTAAATGCCATTGAGTTCAGGCTTTTGAGCATTAGCTTTCCGTTCTCCCTCCTGGGTGGTGCCATTCATAAAACAAAATACCCAATATTTCTCCACTGCAATTCTCGATATTTAGTGTTTAGCTCCAGTGGACAAACTGTTCTGTAATAAAAAATGTTTCATTGATTCATCCATCAAATATTTACTTTGCATTTACTGGGAAGAGGAATGCAGAAATAAACATGACCTCTAGTCCCTGTCCTCAAGTAGCTAACAGACTAGCAGCAGGAGAAAAACATAAATCAAACCCAATTTTAAAGATTCTATTAATCCTCAGACCCTTTCTGAAGTCCAAGTAGAAATCATTAAAGCACACATGAACAATTTTCAAATGATACATTGAAATGACCAGAGATTTTAGATATGAATTTAAAGAGATCTAGATATGAAGCCTAATACAGCTGTTTACTGTGTTATCTTAGGCAAGTCACTAACCCTGATAAGCCTCAGTTTTCTGAACTGTAAAATGGGGCTAACATATCTATTCTCATAAGGTTGTATAGGTAATATATATATATATATGGCACAGTACATAACTCATAAAAATCAGTCAGTAAATGAGAACTCTTATGGTTTCACATTATCAAAACTGCATAAAGTCACATATATAAGGGAACAAAGACTGCAATGAGGTAACATAAATAATCAACATATTAAAAATAGTGGGGTGCCCACCCAATATGGCTCAGTCATTGAGCACAGACCCAGGAACCAAGAGGTTACCAGTTCAATTCCCAGTCAGGACACATGCCCAGGTTGTGGGCTCGATCCCCAGTAGGGGTCGTACAGGAGGCAGCTGGTCAATGATGTTCTTCTTTCATCGATGTTTCTATCTCTCCATCCCTCTCTTTCCTCTCTCTCTAAAAATCAATTTAAAAATATTTTTTAAAAATGGTGGGGTTAGGCCCTGGTTGGGTAGCTCAGTTGGTTAGAGTGTTGTCCCAATATGCCAAAGTTGCAGGTTCAATCTCTAGTCAGAGCACATACAAGAGTTAATCAATGAATGCATAAATAAGTGGAACAACAAATTGATGTTTCTCTTTCCCTCTCTCAAATCAATTTAAAAAGTGGTAGGGTTACAGAATCTACACTAATAAAAGAGAAAGATGCAAATTGACCATAACTTCATGACACCCATCAGCCAATCAGGAGTGAGTATGCAAATTAACCCAACAAAGATGGGTTAATTTGCAAACACAGGTGCTGAGCTGGTGGGACGATTGCATTGTCTTCATGGCAACGATGCACACATTCCGCACCGCCCCAGTAGCTCTGGGCCTCTGGGCAGCGTGGGAAGGCAGAAAGGCGGCTCCAGCCCTGAATGAAGGCAGAAAGGTGGCTCCGGGCTGGAGCGAAGGCGGAAGGCTGGAGCAAAGGGGGTGCTGGCAGCCAGGGGAAAGAAGGCCCATTCTTGCATGAACCTTCGTGCATCAGGCCTCTAGTTTCATTATAATGTTTAATTTGTCCTTTCCAAGAAAAAAATAAATGACCTAAAAACACAAACCAAGGATCTGAGGCCACTTTCAGGTATTAAGGCACTCTCCACTGGGAAGGCTTGAAAGCTAGATTCTGTTCAGGGTCTAGAAAGCAGCTGCTGGGGTGAGAGCTCAGTGCCTGAAAAAAGAGGCAGGGCAGAGGGGCTGAGTGAACACAAGTCTACCATGTGAAAATGGAGAGTGACAACTTTGGTTAATTTATTTGTTTCTACTGTAGTATGTATTGGCATTTTGCTTAATAAATTGAAGCCTCTTCATTAAAGAAGGCATCTTTAATGGCTAGCTTGGCAATAAGTGGCTGAAAGTCATACGTAAGATTCTCAAAATAATGGCAGAGACTCTGGTGCCATCTGGTGGCAACACTTCATGTAGACACATTTGGTTCAATAGTTTCCTTAAGTTCTTGTGCCTGATGTGTGGAAGGCACAAAATGATGGAAAGCCTTGGCCATAACTTCTCTTTCAGGGTGTGGAGTGATGAGATATAAACACATAAATTGGGCAGCCATGCAAAGCATCAAGTACTGACATGAGAGTTCAGAGGAGAGAGGTAGCAGAAGCTGTCAGGGAAGACTGCCTAGAAGAAGCAGAGCTCTAGCTGGTTCTGAAAGAAGCTTGGATTTGGTAAGGGGAAGGGGGGAAGCAAAAGCCATTCATCCTTCTTTCCATGATCTGGAAGGACGAAGCTGAAGTGAAGACTATCCTGAAACTGACTCGCTGATTCATTCAGCAAACATTTACTGAGGTATAAACCAAACTTCTCCAATCTGGAAGGTAAGAAAAGCAATATCCCACTTATCTCCAAAATGCTATAAGTTAGATGCTAACAATAGCAGCCCACATTTAAATGGACTGTCTTTGTTTTAGATTTCATCTCAGGAACTATAATTCATGAAAAATCAGAAAAGAGCTCCAAATGACTTCCTTCCCTGGCACCAGCTGCCTTGTCAGTCTGCTGATGCTTGGCACTTATGACTTGCAGGATCTCATCACTTCTGTACCTTATGGGGACAGGGATCACCCACCATGCTTGGCTGAAAAGAAATACTGAACATGAGCTAAAACCAAATGTCCAGGTAGTATAGCAAAGTAGGACTCACAGCTGACAGAACAATCAGCTTGAAAGAAGTGCTGATAAATCGACAGAGGTCAACTAGAGGAAGGTGTCAGAGAAATGCTCTACAGCTCTGGTCAATATTTTCATGAGTTATTTGGCTAAAAATACAAGGATCTGCTTAGAAAATGTGGATAGCACAAAGCTTGAGAGGTGGGGAAGATCACGGCAGTGAACATGGAAAACAGAAGCACTTAGCGTACAGCATGCTAAGGACTGTGGG